GAAATATATAAAATCATTTGTTTTTTTCATGAATTGATTAATTAAACTTAATTTATGTTATTCAATTTATTAGAATAATCATGATAAAGTTTGTATTTTAATTAGTATATAATTTAAAAGGCTAAATCAATCGTAAAATTTATTGTCTCCGGATTTAGTGAAGAAAAAATGGCTGGTTAAATAATAACATGAAGTTCATGTAGTATAATTTTCAATGCGGTAAATAATGGGGAGTACATTACTCTGCACATAGTAGAAAAAAAAACAGTGTCAATTTTCGCAATATTGTAAATTCGAACATTTATTTTTCTTTTTTACAGATAATATTAATATATAATATTAAATTAGTCAAAAAAACATATTCTCTGGTCATGTTCATGTAAAATGTATCATATCAAATAATTTATTTTGCAATATTTTGTTAATATAAATCCAAGTTTATGAATTAAAATACAAAATTTCCATAGCATCACCAATCACATGCAATTATAATAAGGGAAGATTTTAAATTAAATTTAACTAATTTCAAATTAAATTAATTATAAAATTTTAAAAAAATATTTAGAGTTTCCAAAAAAGTTGATATATTTAGAGCATTTTATAAATGGTAAGATATAAATATAGTAATAAAATAATTAAATATATTTAATTATTTTAATTTTGGAAAATGATGACATGTTTTTTGATGATTTATTTCCACCAATCAATTCGCCACTTGGGATGAAATTGAGGACATGTCACCAATTAAAATTGCCAAATGTCAATCAATTAGGTGTGGAATTCAACTTTTATATATTATATAGATTGTAGCCACCCCTCAATTAGATATGGCCACGGGTCGGGTTTGACCCGGACCCAATCCGAAAACCGCCTCGTCCCGGCCCCGTTGACCATGGACCCGGACTCGGACCCGGACCCGACAAAGTATGGGTCGGTTTCGGGTCCCGATTTTTTGGACCCGAGACCCGGCGGGTCCACCCGGCGGGTGGACCCGAGGACCCAACCCGAGTACCCATCGGATCCATCCGAATAAAAAAATATTTTTATTTTCAAATTTTGAAAATGCAACGGCTATAAACCGGACCCGGTCCGAAAATTCAATTTTTTTTTTTAATTACAACGACTAGAAACTCGGGTCCACCCAGAACCGACCCGGACCCGGTCCGAAAATTCAATTTTTTTTAATTACAACAGCTAAAAACTCAGGTCCACCTGGACCCAACCCGGACCCGAACCGGACCCGGTCTGACTGATTTCAAATTTTATTTTTAGTTTCTTTTTTCAACGGTCACGATCATCCGACCGTTGGAGATGAAGGGCCAGGATTGTTCGATCATTTAACCCGACCCGAACGGTCGAATTACATGTATAATTTTTATTTTTATTTTTATTTTCACATTTTTTACCTATAAATACCCCCACCCCCCTCTCAATTTTCTCACCAATTCACTCACAATTCTCTCTACTCGCCCAATTCTCAAATCTCAAGTGTTTTCTATTTTCTGTTAAATTTGCAAGCATTCTCTACTCTCTTTCCGGTTTTCAATTTCGTTACTCTAAAAAACAATGTCTTCAAGTCGTAATCGTGGAACGGGAAAAGGAATAATCCCTCCCGAATTGGAGTGGGATTGTTCCGATGATTGGCAACACCAATCAATTCCGAACTCGAATTTTGAATTTAAAACTAAGCTCAAGTCCTTTAAATTTAGCTTCTTTTTTTTTTTTTTTCTTTTTTTGATATATGTGAAAATAATAAAATAAAAAATCAAAAAAATCAAAAATCAGTTTTGAACCCGGACCCGACCTGGGCCGGACCCAGAAGGACCCGAGTGGACCTGACCCGGACCCGGATCCCCCTCCACATGGGTCGGTTTCGGGTCCCAAAAAAGTAGGACCCGGACCCGAACCCGCCCTGCCCCGTGGCCGTGTCTACCCTCAACTATGTATTATCTTGCGACAAATACCCCTCTGTAGGTAAATTTAGGAATGTTAAACCGGTAAAATCGAACCGAAATTTCGGTACGCCAACATTTCATACCGTTTACCGAACTAAATATACGATTTGGTTCGGTAAATAACCAAATTACATAAATTTTATGTAAAAATATTTAAGAGGGGGTGATTGTAATTACCCAAACTAGAGGGGTTTTTTCGTAATTTGGCCAAACCCATGGGGTGGCCTTAATTCGCCCTAGATTTTTTTATATGAAAGGGGAAATTAAGGGAAAATCCATGTCCGGCCGGCTAGGGGTGAGTTCGGGACGGGATTTTCGGGATCGGGATTTCGGGATTTGGGATAGAAATTTTAAATCCCAATCCCGTCCCATAATATTAAATCCCGATAATATCGGTATCCCTAAATATTTCGGGAATTCGGGATTGGGATCGGGAATCCCATATTTTGCCTAAAAACTAAGAAATATTGTTTTTTTTTCCATTAGTATTATTTTATACATTAAACCAACTTGAATATATTATTTACATACTATTATTATTGCACTATTTATTTTTACCACAAAACTTGGAACAAATGAAATTTGAAAAATTTAAAAATAAGTTGAAACGATATATTATATTGTATTTCTCATCTCCTTGACAAATATATATATATATATATGTGTGTGTGTGTGTGTGTGTGTGTGTGTGTGTGTGTGTGTGTGTGTGTGTGTGTGTGTGTGTGTGTGTGTGTGTGTGTGTGTGTGTGTGTTAGTTTTTTTTTCTTTTTTCCTAATTCGGGATTAAAATATCCCGATCGGGATTGAACCAATTCCCGAATCCCGATCCCGTATTTGTTCCTAATCCCGATCCCGAATCCCGTAATCCCGAATTCCCGAAGTTTTAATTCCAAATAGTAAAATTCTAATCGGGACGTGACGGGATCCCGAATCCCGATCCCAAAGTCCCAGCCCTACGGCCGGCCCTGCATGTAGGTGAAGAATGGAAGTTTCGAGATCACGAAAGGCAAAGGAACAAAACGAAGCGAAAATCGAAGAAAACCAAGTGAAAAGTCTTCGCTGCCTCATTGGACCGCCGTCTAATAGCATTCTAATTGAGAAGCCGAAATTATGTTGATCGGTTTTCGGAATAGGTTGTTAAAACCCGACCCGCCCACTACATTTGTACATAAACTAGTTCTTCTGTATGTACGATGCACGGGATGGGATGACATTTTAAAAGTGAGGAAAACAATAATTTAAATACATGACAAAAAAAAAAGTTGAAAAACTAAAATTATGTTTCGACTTAAACATGAATTAGATAGAAATATTTTCGAAAGGACATAAATGGAACAACTTGGGGGAATAAATTATCGTTGTTAATGTCGAAAATTATAACTTAACGGCCATATCTCGACACTAGCTAATGAAAATTATAACTATCTTTAAGGTGCTAAACTCCAATTATTTTTAATTTTGCTACCATATGTAGTCCAAGCACGATCATTCCAAAAATCGGAAAATTATTTTCATCGGCTAGTATATTACTACTATGTTTTGACGATCACACTAAAAAAAATATCGAACTAAAACACAAACAAACGTTACTATATTTCAAGTTCGTATCTAAAAAAATCGTAAACAAACATTACTTCCACCGCGTACTTCTTGAAATAGTATTTCAGCTCTTATTCCTTATATTACCACTACATTTTTTAAGTGTATAAATCAATAAACATTATCAATATACACTTGACCAAAACATTGGTGATTCTTCAAATAAAAGAAGAAATAAAATCCCCAAATTTCACCTTTCAATTAATGATACTTAAGAGTAGTACTAACTTTACATCATATCCTTAAATAACTGTCACATATTTATAATATATATATATATATATATAAAATAACATTAAAAGGAAAATGGCTGCAACTTTTAAAATTCTCATAATTTTGATGTCATCTATTGTATCTGCTTTCTGTCCTCCTCGATTTCGCGCACTCTCCAAACCACGAAAATCGACCACTTTTACGTGCACGAAGTGGAGTGCCTTGTTTGGCCTGTTTTTGTAGCATCCAAAAAAAAATAAAAATTTGATTCATTTAAGAGAGACTAATTTCTTTACATACACAAAATATATATATATATATATATATATATATATATATATATATATATATGAAAGAGATTACCTTTACATTTCCCCTTTTGGGAGGTTTGGAGTTATTCCAACAGAACAATCCGCTGCAACCGGGAGCTCCCGATCCGGATTCATACCCTCTGCACCCAAAAAAAAAAAAAAAGCGAAGAGAATTTAAGACCTCGTGTGGTTGCCACAATAGTTATAGAATACGGAAATTTTGGTGGACTAATCAAACGTAACACTAGATAAATTTCAACCAAACGAGTCCTTAATAAAAATTCAATTGTAACCGCTAAGTGTGCAAAAGGTTGCCGGATGCAGTTGTTGACGAAAATATTTAGCATTCTGAATATTAATTCACGGGAACAACTTTAGAAAGTAATTTAAACAACAAATATTGAGAGCATGCAAATTCAGACAACCGTAAATTCGAACATAAACTTTTAACATATATATATATATATATATATATAGATATATATATATATATATATATATATATATATATATATATATATATATATATATATATATATATATATGACTCAAATGTTATCTTTGCTGAGAGTGCGGGCGAATCTGCTATTATGCAAAAAACTTGGCGACATGGGGAAATGATCGGCGGACCTCTTAGCGATAATTTGATCTTTCTGAGGGGGAATTCGGTCATTAATCTTCAACGCTTTAATCTCGCGATTCAGCTCGTCTTCCCACTGCTGCAAAGGCGCCACGTCAGCAAAATTCACCGACCCATCGAATTCTTTCGAAGGGTAGTACGACCCGTCTTGCGGCAGAATTTGATTCCTCTTCGAACCGGGGGTGCCCCCTCTCTCCATGGCCTGTAGCCAAGCGGTTTCCAGTCTCTGCTCGTGGATAATAGACTCGATTCTCTTCGCCGGAGGAACGTTGGCTAACCTGCTCCCCCCCTTTGAGGTGCTCATGTTAGCGCTTTCAGACACGTCGTCGTGGTGCTGGTTCGGTTTTAGTAACGAATCCGGTAGTAGAATTATTTTGACTTCCACGTTGTGGCGTAGGACGATCTCGAACGAGTTTGTGATGCTGCTGAGGAAACCTTCTGCTCGGGTTTTGATGTTTTTGTCGGAAAATGCGATGTGCGCTACAAAACCGCCTGCATGCAGAAAGATTCGATTTTTAAAAAATGGCTGAAAAAATACATTTCTACCCCCCAAACTAACGGTAGGTACAAAGTTAAATTAGAAACCGTGAAATACCTAAATTGCCCCTAGATATAGAATATTTGCTATTACCTTTAACTTCGGATACGGAAACTAGCCTTCCATGAGAATGAAGGAGCTGCCTCAACGTCTTCGAATGGCACTTCTCAATACACTGAATCCATATACTAATCAACATCTTCGAATTCATGCATCTCGTTTTATCGGAATCGAAACTGGCAGAGTCAGCCAGAGGGGCAGGATCGTCTTTTCTCGTAGCGGAACTGCGGTGAGGGTACGGTACAGCAGGAGAGTTCGACCTCTCGGGTGCCAGCTCAGCATCGGCGGTACTTCTCTGCTTGTGGGTCATAGTTTCTCTGAGCATAATAATATGGTCCTCGTCGGTTGTCTTTGAGCTCTGTCTTCGACTACTGCCCGAGTGGGTCCGGTCAGGCGACGGGGCGGAACCTAGCTGTAATAAGGTTGCTGTGAACCATGTGGACCGTTCACTCGATACCCTTAGATGCTTTTCTGCTTCCGAGAGAAGGTTCAGTGCGTGTTTTAGCCTGTCTAGTTCTCGTTCGGACACTGTAATAAAATGCAATTAGTTACTTTTCGAACATAATAAAAAAAATTTGAATTGCTAAAAAAATACCCCTTATTATTTTGATCGGCAAAAATCCCCCTACGATTCATTTTTTTTAGCACACGACCCCTAAACGGGGGTACTAATTGCTTGAAAATTAAATCATAGGGTAATTTTTTTAGCCGTTCGATATAACAAAGAGGTACCAATTGCAATAAACTCGAATTAAAAACCCGTTAGATATATATACCTCAAGAAGCTACTTATTTGTTTCGCTAACGATAATCATCTTGAATTTTACGGAATCATGCAAGAAATCAAGAAAACGTAACAAGTATACCATATTTTACTACAAAGAAACACGTGGCAAGAAATGGCATCGAGTCAACATAAACCCGTTTTTTGTAGTGTTTACATTTTATCGAGCGTGGCATTTATTTCCTGGAATGGATTATGATCGAGATTCAATTTTCGTGTTTCTATAAAAGATCGAAACTTTATGTGATTCAGATCGAAAAATAAAGATTTACTATAAAGATTAGTTTCGACACTCACAATTTCTTCCACCGAAGAAGGAATCGTGCTTCCCGTCGGAACTCGGATAAGTCCCAGCAATAATATCGACAATAAGTGTCGCCATTTGAGACATTAAAACTATCGGGTCAACTCCACAGTCCATCAATTCTCTCGCTCTAATCACAGTCTCCGTCGCATTCGACGCCATGGCTAACTCCAATAACTCCAATAACTTCTCGTCGGAAACAACCCCGATCTACGTAACAAACGACACATGATTATTTTCAGTAAAAACACAATGTTTAAGACAATGTACGTATTTTAAAGAAGAGTAAACTCACGAGTTCGTTGACCAACGAGACGGTGATTCTCTTCCCAAATAAACTCAACTGATCGACCGTTGTCTCCGCATCTCTCAACGAACCATCCGCGTTCGAAGCAATCATTTCCAACGCATCTAAGTCAACGTCCAAATTCTCGTCACTAACGATTTTCCTCAACCGACCCACGATTTCGCTACTGCCGATCTTGTTAAAAAGATGCTTCTGACACCTGGACAAAATCGCCCTCGGCACGTTGTCCGCATCGGTCGTAACGAGTACAAAGACGACGCGCGCAGCGGGTTTCTCAAGCAGACGGAGGAAAGTCAACCAAGTCTTCGACGGCAATAAATGGCACTCCTCGACAACAAAAACCCTAAATTTCGAATCCGAAGAAGACGACGACAAATGGCTCTTCAGAAGCGACTTGATATTCTCGATTCCCTTCTTACTCGAACCGTCGGCTTCTAGAAGGTTCCGGCTCTTTCCGGACATGAAATCGGAACACTCTCTACAAACCCCACAAGGCTTAGTCTCGTTCGACGCTAAGCAATTCAATGCAGCGGCGAAAATTCTCGCGGCCGAAGTTTTTCCGGTCCCACGTGGGCCTTGGAAGAGATAAACGGGGGAAATTCTCCCCCTCGAGATCGTATTAATAAGAGATTGCACGACTATATTCTGACCAATCAATTCCTCGAAAAACATCGGCCTATATTTATGGCTCAAGCTTCGTACATTCTCGGGCGAGCTCTCCTCTTGTACTTCATCGTTCATAGCAACCATTTCTAGACCTTCTTGGCTTCTACAGCTCGAAGACCACCTTTTTCCGTCCAATCGGCTCAACGCCTCCAAATCGATCTCTCCGTAATTCGTCGACAGCTCATCGTCGCTGTTACTACTGTTTGTTAGAAGCGGGACATGGCTAGAATTCGGTCTCCTCTTATTATGATGTCTCCTTTGATGGGTCGAAGAGTGGGTCCCACAAAAAATACTGCTCGATTTCCTTCTTAAAGTATCCGAAAGCGACGGCGAATAGCAGCTCCAAGAACCTACTCTCGACTTCGGAGTTGACCTTCTTGACCAATAGCAAGGGATTCCGCATCCGTTTCGACCCGGCAAATCCAAATTGTCGTCCACCTCATCGTCCGCGCAAGATCCAGTTGTCGCATCCCATGATTCGACCGTACTAGGATTCCTAATCCCGTATTTATTATTATTATTATGACGAGAACTTGTCGAAAGTGCAGGCGTGCTGTACGAAACCGAATCGTCTTCCACATTCTTCTTACGATTCACCGCCGGGGCCCACCCCTTGTTCTTGATTCTCGCAAGCAAAGGGGAAACTGTACTATTGCAGTAATCCTCGGTGTCGTCCGATTGGCCGGCCAAATTGACCGAACCGCCCCTCCGTAGACCTAAGCCGGGCAAACCATCGACCACATTGTGGGCGTACCTACTCACTATTATCTGTTTCTGCAGCTTCTCGTTGTGATGCCGCAGAGTGGCGTTCGAGTAATTACTCCTCCTCGGCTTCTTCTTGATTGTGCGCATGATAGATGGAGTGAAGTCCGTGCTTCTACACTTGAACACGGACGAAGGGTAGATATCGCTCTTCGAATCGTTCCCACCACCGCCATTTCTTGCGTCGCTATCAACACTCGAAACCGAACCCTCTTCGTCTTCTTCCTCATCGATATGCTTGCTTCGTTCGCTCTCGGATTTCTGGCTCCTCCAATTATATAGGAACACTTTCTTCTCTTTCGAATTCGAATTCGGGTTCGGGTTCGGATTCGAATCCACATTATTACTAGTACTAATTTTATCGACTTGCAACGGGAGTTGCGGAAACTGATCGGAGGAGGAAGAAGGGAGGACGATGGCATTACCGTCAATCTTGTTGTGGTGGTGCACGTAGTGGTGCTTGGTGGTGGATCTAGTCGAGTTGAGCGGCGACCGCCGCAGGGAGGAGGAGGTGGTGCCGGGGTCCCTCAACACCCTCGCCGCCGCCTTCCGGATTTGCGTCAACTCCTTCTTCAAATGCAGGTTGCTCGGATCAATACTCCCACCACCACCGCCACTGCCGCCGCCGCCGCCGCCGCCCATCTCCACCGACATCATCTTCAAAACTGCCACCACTGCAGCAACCGAAGAAAATGGAGGTGGAAAAATGAAACAAATTTATCCCAAGAAAACAAATGGGGTTGTCTATAAATAAATCAAAACTGCAGATCTGAAGGAATCAATAATTAAAATTAAAAAAAAAAAAAAAAAAAAATCCTCAACAGCTACAAATAAGGGTGGTGGGCTGAAATCAAGAATGTAGGGTTCTTAAGGAATTAAGAGAAAAAAAAAAAAAAAAGGCAAAGATTTACTGCTCTGCAAGAATGGAGGGCTTTTGAATTATTATGGGAAAAATTAAATTAATTTCTTGTTTCGTTGAAATCGAAGTAAAAATGGCAACTTTATTTTTTATTTTTTTTTCTCTGCAGAAGTGAAGGTCCCGCCGAGCAGAGATTTTTGAGGCTCCAAAGATTCTATTGTAATGAGTGTCTCTCTCTCTCTCTATACTTTCTCTCTCTAGTTTCTCTCTCTCTCTTGCTTTCTTTGTCTGAGATTTACTTCTCCATTAGTTGTCTTAGTTTCCATACTTTCCTTACACACATTTTCGTTTATTGAAAGCGTTGAAATTGTTGACACTTCCATTGATGATTGATGGACTCATTTGCCTACGGGTCTTTAATTTTTTATTTTAATATACATTTTACTATAAAGGGTAAATTTGTAAATTACGATCACTCCTGAACAAAGATCACATTAGAAGAAAAAAATAAACGATCGTGTTTGGGTAATTACAATCACATCCCTCAACTGTGGATCTTGTTACACATACACCCTTATGGTGTCGAATTCAATGTAATCTTCTAGATTTCGTGGAATGTTCTCTATTTTGTACTCGTTTTTTGCAAAATTGCAGTTTCTGATGCACCACTATCTGATTTTTTCAAGCCAAGAGACACATCTTATGATTATCTTGTTTCAAAATGTGAAGCTCGAATAGGGTAAAACATGTACACACTGGAGAATTATCCAAATAATCTAGAAATAACGAGCTAAAGTTCGACTAACTAAGCTTAGGGTATGAATGTAAAATAGTCGAAGCAGATCGCCGTGGAAACTTTAAATTAACTTGGAGAACTAAAGTATGGCTTTGGTATAAATTATCGATTAGGTTGAGTCATTTAATTGGTAAGATGTAAATGAATGGAATTCGAGTCGATGCAAATATGATTGTTCAAGTTTTGATTCATAACTAGGTCGAACTCGAACGAATTTTAATCGAACCTAGCATGAATTATATTCGACAAAAAAATAGGGCTCAAACAAACATTGGAAGACCGACTTCAGATTAAGTATCAAGTAGCTAATTTGATTTGATTAATGGACTGAACTCAAACAAACTTTTATCGATCAATTTCAAATTGAGTATTGAGTAGTTTGATTCGAATTTCAACAATGCATTTTCTCGTGTTTTAATCTTTAAACTTTGCTTTTTAGAATTGGTAAGTTGCAAATTGAGTCAATTATAAATTGCACATAGATTTATTAAAACCCTAATTGTGTTAATTAATTATATATGTACCCTTAACATGTGTATGTAAGTAATTGATAAATAATTCAAATAAATGAGTCCCTAATAAATAATAATACCTAGGTAGATAGGTCATAAATTACAAGAACCCTATAGCTAAAAAATCATTATTGTAGTGCCTTTTTAAATGAGACATTGTACAATTATAGATACAACATACTTAGTGGAACTATCTATAGAAGTCCTTTAATTGGATGAAAGCTTATGTTAGGATATTAAATTTGGGCATTCTCTTCATTTATGCAATATATAATGGATATTATAATCAAAGAGTTCTTATAATTTATTAACTTATAATGTAGATGTTAAAACAATTAAAATAAAACATTTTAGGACAAATTACGGCCACTCCTGAGTTATGGTCTCCCATCATGTTTGGATAATTACAGCCACCCCATCAATTACGTATTATCTTACGAAAGTACCTCTCCAGAGGTAAATTTATGGATATTAAATCGGTAAAATCGAATTGAAATTTCGGTACACCAACATTTCATACCGTTTACCGAACTGAATGTCCGAGTTGGTTCGGTAAAATAACCGAATCACATAAATTTTAAGTAAAAATATTTAAAGGGAGGGGGTGGCCGTAATTACCCAAACAAGATTGGATTTTCGTAATTTGATCATACCTCGGGGGTGACAGTAATTTACCCAACAATTTAATATCAAATCAGATTTTCTTAGGTCAACCTCGATTTTTTTTTTCGATTGAGCCCAATTTTACACCTGGTCCAATTTGATCTGCACCCAATTTAACTCGAGTTTTCTTTTAACAATTCACTCATACTCATTTTTCTTGATGTGAAACTGGATCGAACTAACAACTGGCTGTCTGGAACGGTTCTAACAACATCGAGAAAAAAAAGGCTAAAAGTTGCCAATTACTACCAACCAACATATAAATCATCAAGTTGTGAAGAGTAAAGACAAATCATTCAAGAACGTGAGTGAATATTCGAATTAAGCATAGTAAAAATTTCAACTACGTATGTACCTTTTTGCTTCTAGACACTACAAAAACAACATTATGACTTTTCTAGTTATTTCAACTTTATTTAACTTGGGATAGGTATGTAAAGATTTGTTCTAGTGATCTAAAAGAGAATATGCTATATTTAAATTTTACTTTTCATTAATAAATAAGGATTTCATTAATAAATAAGGATGTTAATAAATGTGGATCCGCTAAGTGTCATTTTAGTTTGAATAATACTGTTCCGACTTCGAACATGATTTAGTAAAAAATAGAATAAACAATCGCTTTCACAATCAAACATCACATATGAGTTTCGTCCCACCTAATTTCATGTTATTTATGTTAATAAATCGAACCATGTATGTGAAGTGCACACGATAAATAGTTACGATATAGGCAAACTCGATGATTTTATAAGATTGACATAAAAAAGTCCAATATTCTGAAAACCGATCGAATATTGATCCGGGTTTCAAAACATTGAGAAAAACTAAGTCGAATCCTACAAAACTGAAAAAAAAAAAATATAGTTTAATTATTTTTCCCTTTCCTTTTCCACAAAATTTTATATTCAATATTGCAATATTGGTGGTAAACATTGGTGAGGATTGTTAGATATTTGAAAAAAATATTGAAATCCATGGAGATCAAATGGGATCGATCATGTGCTAAATGGTAATGCAATTAATATTATAATTAGGCCACGTGATAATGATAAGGACTCCTTATCTAGATCCAATCGATTTCTTAAAACCTCTCTCATTACTGCACGATTAAGAATAATAATCTCTAACTCTCATGATCACATGTGAATCAAGTCCAAAAATAAGCTTTATATATATATATATATATATATATATATATATATATATATATATATATATATGAGAAAATGAAAATAATTATTATTACTATTAAAATTTGATAATACTAAGGATAGATCACCTGATGTAGTTGATGTAGAATGAGCTGAAAGAGCAAAGTGAAACACAGGGTCACAAGATTGATGATCCTGAGATACGTGTTGATCAGAGAACACGTAAACTAAGTCAGGAGTTGATCCGGCGGCAACCCAACGCTCAAGTCATGCGTGTGGATAGCAGAAGTCGTAGAGAGAAGAATGCTAGGAGTCGTCTCGATAGAATAATAGAAAATACCTTAACAAATGAGTTACAATCTTTATCTATACCTCGTTCATTGGATTGAGGCTATTTAGTTGAGATTGTCAGATTCAAACCTCAGTAGAAGGTGATCGGGCATTCGTTATAGTGATCTTTAAAATTGAACTCATGGCTCAATAAATAAACAAATTATAGGTTAATCAAGTTGGCCCAATTAGGTATTTCAGGATTAATTATTAACATAGAACATGGTATATATCACATGAATGACTTTGAATAGATTAATGTTGACTGCTTCCAAAACGACATGTCTTGTCGTTGCAACATATCCACATCTATATTTAACCATATTTACATATATATATATATATATATATATATATATATATATATATATATATATATATATATATATATATATATTTGTTCTTAAGTAAATAATTTTTTTAGTCGATATCTTAGGGGCTTTAATTTCAACCCATTGGTTAACTCGTTTCTCCACAAATCTAGCGGTGTGAATAAACTGAGCCAACTCAATAAATACTAGAGTTCAAGGTCCATAAAATCGAGCTTGAGAGTTGAAGCTCTTTATTGAGGAGCTTGAGTTCAACTTTAATCGTTCGATAACTCAAACGCTGTCTCATGATCTTTTTCCTATACTTGTTTGTTATAAATATTTAAGAACAATACTTTAAAGTTTAATACTAATTTTACCTAGATATTTACAAATATGATTGTAATAAGTAAAATGTTATTCTGATAATAAACTTGATAATACTAGTTTTAATGTTAAGGTAAGTATATATAGTTATTAAAGTTTAGGTTTTGGCGAGCTCCAGTCGAGTTAGAGCTCAGGAAAGTTTACTTAAGCGAGTAGGTCCACCCCCGGGCCAATATATCCTATCGTACCCCGGTATTTAAGCTCACTGTTTAAAGTTTTTTCTAATTTCGAGTTTCGACACATCGAAACGGGACACACAAAATAAGGAATTTAATTTCAAGTTTTAGATTTTTCGGAGAAAAAAAAAATTCAAAATTGACCTTTTCGATCTAAATGAAAAAGATTTATTTAGTGTTGCACTTTTTTTTTTTTTTTTTTTATGTGTGTGTATTTTTTTTGTCCATTTAGGTTTGTAATATTTTATACCGACCAATAATTCGGAATATAATTGACATCAGATTTTTAATTCCAATTTTTATTTTCCTAATTTTAATCAAAACCATCATTTTTATTTTTTACAATGCGATGAATTTATAAATTAGCATATTTCAAATTTTGCACCAAATGTCATTTTCAAAGTATTCATTCATTACAAATAATTCTTTTAATTATTATTATTTTGCAAATACTTTGATACTTAATAATTTTAATTATGAACATTAAATTAATAGAAGAAGTAATTTAAAATTTAAATAGATAAAATAACATTTTGTCTCGGCCAATAATTTCTTTTGAAAAGGGCCCATGAAAATTAAATGCATTTCGACAGTCCCGACAAATGGGCCTCTGTGGTTGGATAAAACATTTAAAAGGGAGGCCTTATCTTAAACTTAAATTTTAGGGTAAATTACACCTACACCCCTGACGTATGCTAAAATAACTTTAAGGTCCCTGTGGTATTAGTAATTATAGCCACACCCCTGAAGCAATTACCGGAGACAAGATTTCATGTCATGGGGATCGATATGCACTGTATTTCTTTTTCCGCGGGGCCGTTAATGCTACCATAGACGAAAATTTATAAATCTTATATAAAATAATAAGGATTTAAGAAATGTTGGGAGAGACATGTCACCCCCTAATTCTATGTTGTCTCCCACACTTCCAAAAAATAATAGTCCGTTAGAACCCTAACGAAATAACTTATCCAATGTATTATTACGTTAGAGTTTCTAACACTGTTTTAGGGGGTCATTGTAATTACCGATACCACATGAACCTTAAAATTATTTTAGCAAACTCAGGGATATAGGTGTAATTTACCCTAAATTCTATTTGTAATACTATCAACATAAATTATTTAAAGTAAATTATACTAACTAAATAATTATTTTAATTGAGAAAATTTAACAAATATATATATATATATATATATATATATATATATATATATATATATATATATATATATA